ACATCTGGTTGCTGTCATATTAATTGTTGTAGAAGGATTATTGACACGGGTTGTTATGGTATTGTTCCTACCTCTAGGTTGAAAGGCCTACGTTCATCATCATCATAGAATCATAGAATCCCTTCGGCCCAACAAGTCCACACCGACTCTCAGAGCATCCCAACCAGACCCATCCCCTAATCTACACATCCCTCAACACTACGGGCAATTTAGCATGGCCAATCCACCTAGCCTGCATATCTTTGGACTGCGGGAGGAAACCGGACCATCCGGAGAATGTGCAAACTCCACACAGACAGGCGCCCGAGGCTGGAATCGAACCCGGGTCCCTGGCGCTGTGGGAACAGCAGTGCTGACCACTGAGCATTCAAACCCCACATTCCTCAGCAGGTCAATTAAAAAACTTTTTATTTTAAACATTCAAAGGAAAAAGTAAATCAGAAATTACGTTCATAGTGTGTCATTCACACCCTCCATGCATCGCAATACTTTCAACGAATTGATTATTTTTGAAGTGCAGCAATCCTTATATAGGTGGATGCAAGAGGCAATTTACACAGGGCAAGGTCTCACAAACAGCAGGTTAAGATAACAACCAGTAGGGGCCCTTCTTGTGATGCAGTGGTAATGTTCCTACCCCTGGACTGGGAGGCCGAGTTCAAATCCCCAGCCCCCCCTTGTAAGAACATATCTCAACAGATTGATAAGAAAAAACAATTAAAAATAGCATAAATAACCAGCTTATCTGCTTTCTTTTTGCTATTATTGGTTGGGGCAAAATATTAAGTTACGCTACAGGGAAAAAACTTCTTGCATAAATCGAAACAAGAGGTATTTTTATCCACCTGTATAGGCAGCCAGAACTAGTTAATGGCAAGAATTTCTGGTTTTGGTGAGCAGGAGGATCAGATGGGGAGGGAAATCCCATCATCTGCAAAATCCCACCATCCGTAAATACTTGCTTCCTGTGTGGTGTGAACATCTTACAAAATGGACTTGCATGTATAATAATGGAGGCAAAAATCATTCAATTTATTGAATGAACATTTAGATGCTGTGATGGGGCAAGATTTTATAGGGAGCTGACTGGATAGGTTGACAGCTAAGGCACCTTGAATGGTCCCATTTTATCGGTTATTTCCTATTTATTTCAAAGGGAATGGAAAACAAAAATAGGGAGGTTTTGCTAAAACTGTACAAGTTACTTGTCAGACCACTGCTGGAATATTGTGGAGAGTTTTGAGCCTCTTATCTAAGGAAAGATGTAGTGCCTTGGAGGCAGTCCAGAGAAGATTCACTGGTATGGAGGGACAGTCTTATAAGAGGCTAGGTAGATTGGGCCTGCACTCATTAGAATATAGAAGAATGTGTGGCAACCTTATTGAAACATGCAAGAAATTTAGGGGACTTGACAGGGTGTTTCCCCTTGAGGGGAGAGTCTCTGATCAGACAGCAGAATAAGTGGTCGCATATACAAGACAGAAGAGAATTTTCTTCTCTCAGACAGTTGTGAATCTGTGGGATTCTTTATTACAGAGAGCTGTTGAGGCTGGGTCATTAAACATATTCAAGTTTGAGATAAACAGATGTTTAATCAGCAAGCGAATCAAAGATTGTGGGAGGAAAGGCAGGAAAGTGGAGCTGAGAGTTATCAGATCAGTCATGACCTCATTCAATGATGGAGAAAACCTGATGGACTGAAGAGTCTACTTCTGCTTCTATGTATTATGGTCACAAATTCCAGCAAATGTATTTGGGAAGGTGCAGCTGCTTTCATTCATTTTTTCATCTCCTTGAACTGGATGACTGGTGGCAATGCTAGCATATGTATTGTCATCCTTTCTAAAGTAACTTTCCTCAACACAAAAGGAGACCAAAGTTGGGGAGATTTTCTAGAAGTGTACCTTGCTGATGATGATCATAAACTCATGAATCTTGAAGGTGAAAGCAGTCATTGAATAAGGCCTAACCTTCAAGAATAAAGAACAGCTTACTGTGGAACAGTGTAGCTACCTTGTTCCAAGCTACCTTGGGAGCAATGCAAGAGTTTGGGATTGTGTAAAACTATTTAAGATGAAACATACTGTTTATATTTGACATGTCAGCTAATTCATGTTTAACATGCATGGCTCAGATTCGTGTTCAAGTGAAAGGTAGAAAATTACATTTGGTTGCTAATTTTTTCATCTGAGAACCTTTTGATGGTACATTTCATCGTTTTGGTTGACAGCTGTCCCAAAAGAGCTTTGTGGTAAAGGAGCACCGGAAACTTCAAAATAATAGGTCAAATCACTTGGTCTCCACATCGTCAGAGACTGAACGTACATTTGAAGATGCACAGTGAGTCCCTGTGGAAATCCTGATTTGGACTCATGTGAGATTTGTGCATCAGGAGTTCTGATGCAGAGTCACCAGACTATAAATGTTAACTCTGCTTTCTTCCCACAGATGCTGCCAGACCTGCTGAGTTTCTCCGCTATTTCTGTTTTAGTTTCTGAGACACACACCAGACTGGATCCGATGGCATATAGACACCTGTCTGACCCCCTACTTAGAGTCCTCCTGGCTGTCTATTGATGACTAACCCCGCTGCCCAGATTCAACTACTCCCAAACTGGACTCTGCACTCATTATTTCACCCACCTACTTCCTGTAATCATGTACCCACTCACCCGCCAGATCACCTACCTATGTACCCTACCAGCCTGCGCTCCTCACCCATTCAACCACCTCACCCACTTACCCATCATAACGATGTACCCAGTCCAGACCACGACTATCTACTGACCTCACCCATCTTGCCATCAATCTAACTTACTGATCTACACATCTCACCAACCTCACCTACTTATCCACCCCTTACTCAGTCACTCATCCATTCCTCTATCCATTAGCATTCAAACGCAGGCAGCATAATGTCTCAGTGATTAGCACTGTTGCCTCACAGCGCCAGTGACCTGGGCTCAAATCTGGCCTTGGGTAACTGTCTGTGTGGTGCTTATAAGTTCTCCCTGTGTCTGTACGCGTTTCATTCGGATGCTCTAGTTTCCTGCCATAGTCCAAGGATGTGCAGGCTAGGTGGATTAGTCGTGGTAAGTGTGGGGTAGGATGCTGTTCAGAGGATCAGTGCATACTTGATGGACCAAATGGCCTCTTTCTGCACTGTAAGGATTCTATGATTAAACCTTTAAATTTACCATACAAGAGCTGAAGCTGTAAAAAGCATTCATGTTTGCTGTTCCCGAAATGGCCTCCTCTACATCGGGGAAACCAAGCGGAGGCTTGGAGACCGCTTTGTGGAACACCTACGCTCGGTTCGCAACAAATGACTGCACCTACGAGTCGCAAACCACTTCAACTCCCCCTCCCATTCCTTGGACAACATGTCCATCCTGGGCCTCCTCCAGTCCCACAAAGATGCCACCGGAAGGTTGCAGGAACAGCATCTCATATTTCGCTTGGGAACCCTGCAGCCCAATGGTATCAATGTGGACTTCACAAGCTTCAAAATCTCCCCTTCCCCAACCGCATCCCAAAACCAGTCCAGCTCATCTCCGCCTCCCTAACCTATCCATCCTTTCTCCCACCTATCCACTCCTCCCACCTCAAACCCCATCCCCACCTCCTACCTACCAGCCTCATCCCTGCCTCCTTGACCTGCCCGTCCTCCCTGGACTGACCTATCTCCTCCCTAACTCCCCACCTACACTCACCTTTACTGGCTCCATCCCCGCCTCCTTGACCTGTCTGTCTCCTCTCCACCTATCTGCTCCTTTATCCATCGTCCATCTGCCTCCCCCTCTCTCTCTATTTATTTCAGAACCCCCTTCCCCTCCCCCATTTCTGAAGAAGGGTCTAGGCCCGAAACGTCAGCCTTCCTGCTCCTCTGATGCTGCTTGGCCTGCTGTGTTCATCCAGCTTTACACCTTGTTATCTCATGTCCTCTCCTCCCCCTGACTTTACTCCATGTTGACAAGGTTCCCCGAAGGACGTAGCAGTGCCCATTCCTTTGACAATGGGATTGTAAAACCTTGGAAAAAATAAGCAGCAGTGGCAGATTGAGAGAATCTTCGAGCACAGTGGCAGTCCACTCATCATTGCTGTTGCTGCTTCAAAGGTTTTGCTACTTTGTTTATTCAACCCGGGTGACTGTCGACACATCTGAACCATTGAACATTTGCATTCAGTCATAACTTTTAATAATGATAAGCATTTACTGAAAAACAGGAACCAAAAACATTTCATCAATCTTTACAACACCTATTAGATTTAAATCATCCAGTTCTTCCCTATCTGTGAGCACCAGCCCTTGGTGAATTCATTCTCATATACAAATGACTTTAAAAGCCAAGCATGAATAGAGAACTTGGTTAGAGACAAAAAAAAACTGCAAATGCTGGAATCCAAGGGAGACAAATGGGAGGCTGGAAAAACACAGCAGGCCAGGCAGCATCTGGAGGAAAGGAGCAGTCAATGTTTCAGGTATTACCCTTCCTCAGGAATAGGGGATGCTGACAGTTATCATGCAACCTGAAGATCGTAGTATCACTTGACTTTCGATTTAATGAGCATTAAACTCCTTGCGTTCGGAGCAAACTTTATTATACTTTAGAGTCTTTTGTTTTTGGATTACAAGCAAGCATGTCTCAGCAGATATACATTGCCAACAGGTATCCTTTAAAGTTGTGGTGCTTATTATCTTTGATGGTAGTAATGATTAGTTTTATTATTCCATTGAAGTAGTATTTACTTTGGAAACATAGGTGCCACTTAGGCAGAAAGGTTATTAGTTTTGAGTGTAGTTAATCTCCTTTGACTACTGATCTTGATCCACGTGATTCATCACTTTCAACTGTATTTACATTTACTCCTGCTGTGGGAAATTATATAGTTATCTTCAGTTGAGCAACAGAACAGTGAAAATAAAACAGATTGAAAGCATAAACATTCTGGTTAAAGAAAAATGCTGAAACACTGTGCGATGTTCTGTCTCGCAACAGGTAACCTATGATTTAACAGGAGCGATTGAAAAGAACAGAGATTCACTTTCCCAAAGCCTGTTTTTTATTATGAAAAGTAAGTGTTTGTTTTTTTTAATAAATCAAAACATATTGCAAGCACTATATTTAAACCACTTTATTTGTGTTAATTAACTAAGTTAGATAGTTGTTATGTCTCAAATCTTTTCAATGTCATGAATGAAATGTCATTTAGAAATAAATGTAGTTTCCACTGTGTAATTATGTCATTTTTTGCAATATTTTCATTGAGCTGGTATTAATACTTGTCTCAGCAGGCTGGGAAAGCGCTTCCCATAATAGATTGAAAAAGGTTGCCATATTCAAATCCTTTACAGGAAATATTCTATAACGTTTCATGAGACACACAAATATGTAAATATTTATTGAATAGGAGCATTCCAAGGTCAAACAATGCTGTATAGATTACTTTTAATTTTTAAATTGTAGAAACATAGCTGGTAATTGCTTATAAAAACCAAGCAACTAACAACAATCAAGAAACTTAACACCGTTCAGGACAAAGCAACTCACTTGATTGGCACTACATCCACAAGCATCCACTCCCTCCACCACTGACGCTCAGTAGCAGCAATGTGTGCTATCGACAAGACACAGCAGAAATTCACCAAAGATCCTCAGACAGCACCTTCCAAACTCATGACTACTTCCATCTAGAAGGACAAGAGCAGCAGATGCATGGGAATACCACACCTCCGAGTTCCCTCCCCAAGCCACTGACCATCCTGACTTGGAAATATATCGGCATTCCTTCACTATCACTAGGTCAAATCCTGGAATTCCCTCCCTAATATCAACACACAGCAGGTGGACTGCAGTGGTTCAAGAAGGCAGCTCACCACCACCTTCTTAAGGGTAACTAGGAACAGGCAATAAATGCTGTCCCAGCCAGAGATTCCCACATCCGCTGGGTGAATTTAAAAATATTGGCCTAAATTAGCCCCAGCCTAAATGACTGCAGAAGCAATGGACTGATATCTCCCACGTTCTGGTTATTTTTGGGGTGTTCGTAAATGACTTCCCGTCATTTCTCCTGCACTCATCCACTGCTCGCTTCATTAATTGTGCATCCAAGCTCCACAGGGGTCTTCTCATTCAACCATGCAGTAGCAGCCATAACCTTCTAGCAATCATTGGCACCACATTTAAACTCCAACTGCATACCAGTTCAAAGAAGCTAACCTTTACACGCTGCTGCTCCATCGTTGCAACCAAGGACATGAACCAGAAAGGGGAGGAAAGATACTCGATTTCTTCAACATCACCACTTCCTCCCCCACCTCCTCTGGAAGCTCATTCCATACACGCACCATCCTCTGCGTGAAAAAGTTGCCCCTTAGGTCCCTTCTAAACCCTTCCCGTCTCACCTTAAACCTATGCCCTCTAGTTTTGGACTTCCCCACCCGAGGGAAAAGACCTTGGCTATTCACCCTAACCATGCCCCTCATGATCTTATAAACTTCTATAAGGTCACCCCTCAGCCTCTGACACTCCAGGGAAAATAGCCCCAGCGTATTCAGCCTCTCCCTATAGCTCAAACCCTCCAATCCCTGGCAACATCCTTGTAAATCTTTTCTGAGCCCTTTCTAGTTTCACAACATCTTTCATATAGCAGGCAGACCAGAGTTGCATGCAGTATTCCAAGAGTGGTCTTTGTTATTTGTTATTGCCAGATTTTCACACTGACCTGCAGTCAACCACTCTAGCTCAGAATGAACTGCAAGGCAAGTGGGGAGCAAGGGATTTTGACCACACTCCAGTGCCCTTCCAGGCATCCAGATGGAGGAGGCATCACATATTGGGCCCCTCTAAAGTCTCTTCTCAGAACAGGAATAGGCTGTTCAGCTCCTGGATGATCCGACATTCCTCGACATTTTCTCCATAACTCTCCAAATCAAGTATTTATCTATCTGAGCCTTAAGTATACACAAGGACTCTGCCCCCACAGCTCTCTGTGGCAAGGAGTTCCAAAGACTCTCAATCGTCTGAGAGAAGAAATTCGTACTCACCTCAGTGTTAAATTGGTGCCCTTTTATTCTGAGACTATGCACTCTGGTCCAAGACTCCCCTATAAGGGGAAACATTGTCTCAGTATTTACCCTGTCAAGCCCCTTAAGAATCCTATAAAAATCCTATGTGTTTCAATGGGATCACCTCACATTCTGCTAAACTCCAATGAGCACAGTCCCAAACTATTTAGTCTTTGCTCATAAGACAATCACGCCACTCCAGTGAAGATCCGAATCAACCTTCTCTGAACTACCACCAATGAAATGATTTCTTCCAAAGATGTGCAGGTTCAGTGGAAGGACCAGGCTAAATTGGCCATAGTGTCCAGGGATGTGCAGGTTGGGTGGATTAACCATGGGAAATGCAGCGTAGGGGAGTGGGTCTGGATGGGATGTTCTTCGGAGGGTCAGTGTGGACTCGATGAGATAAATGGCCTGCTTCCACACTGTAGGAATTTTATGACTCCCTTAAATAGGGAACCAAAATTATCAGTACTCCGGACATGGTCTCATCAGCACCTTACACATTTGCAGTACAACTTCCCTACTCTTATTCTCCAAGCTCCTTGAAATCAGGAACAAAAACAAAGTTGCTGGCAAAGCTCAGCAGGTCTGGCAGCATCTGTGAAGGAGAAAACAGAGTTAACGTTTCAGGTCCTTCCGGGAAGGGTGACCGGACCCAAAACGTTAACTCTGTTTTTTTCTTCACAGATGCTGCCAGACCTGCTGAGCTTTTCCAGCAA